AGGACAGAGCACATTTAAAATCATTGTGTTCAAAAGTGACACAGTTCTCCCAAGGCCAAGGACTACAATCCAGCTTGTGCTGACAATTTAACAAAGCCTTCTTGCCTTTCAAAGCCTACTCTCTACAGGCACATTTTTATTTGTGATGAGACATGGAACAACAATACAAAGCAGTTCTCACATCCTCCAGTCTCCTCCTCTGCTCTTTTTGCTGCTCAATCCGTTTCTGTCGCTCTGTCAGCAGCTGCTTCTTGTATTTCTCCTGGTCCTTCAGCTGCTGCTGCTGGCGATGAGGGTCAGAACGGTTTTTGTTCTCTTGCTGCAGCCTGAGAAATTCACGACGGAGAGTTGACTCCCCCGGGAGATTAACTATGGAGCTGAAATAAAGGGGAGGTTTCTACATGACTAAACATAACATTAAGGAGAGAATACAAGGTGCATTGGAATTGCTTGTTGTCCAGTGTTAGCAAATTAAGATGTTCTGATGAATCTCCAGCATGTTAACTATGCATCCACACTTACTGCACTACAAAACAGCCTGAAGCAGATTATTGGGTCCTTCATTTGAGAGTTTCCTCTCTACTGCAGGGGAACTAAGAAGCAGCTTATTACAGACATCTTATACTCAGCAGTTATATTTGATAGCTACAAAACAGTTAAAGCTACCAGTGGGGATACAGGAGACAATAAATTCAGAGCAAGTTAAGAAAGCCATTCTGGCTCAGGAAGGCTGCCTTCACTGAGAACAGCTTGGGCAGTCAAATTTGCTATTCCAGTAATAAAATTAACCTTGGTTCTCCTTCATCTTCATTCAGCTCATCATCTTCCTCCTCACTTCCACTGTAATCGTAGTCCGTTTCTTCTAAAAAAAGATAACAATAAACAAACCCCAGTGGAGGATGCTGTTATTTCAGATACGATCTTGAACCTTGTTTCTGAGCACTGAACCTGAACTCAACAGGAATTTAAAAGCCACAGGTTGCACTGGGAGGCTGAGGGGAGGTAAGATATCTACATACATAATTCGAAATCTAGTTCAGATAATGTTTCAGGGCAGCCCCTTTACACACTCCCACGTTTTCCCTTGACTGACTGTATTGGTTTTGCAAAACTAACCTATTTCCACAATCTGAAATAAATTAGGCTAAACCCACAGAGAAATCCAACCTCCATAACACCATCGGCAGAGAGGTTCTTCAGAAAGAAATTTAGATAGGACATAAAAGATTGGTACTGCCCTTCTCTGCTATTGTATACCTGTTGTATGGTTAAGCTGAGGCCTTCAGTAAATCCAGGTTTCCTTTTGTATTAAAGGGAATAATAAAAAAAAAAAAAGAGGGATAATAAACCAATGCTAGTTTTAGCACAGTGGTTCAGAAGAAGTTGACCCACATTTTTCAAGTTCTCCTCAAGACTAATATGAAGGCACCTTTTAAGGAATAATTTCAAACTGGTCCTACTCTGCGTTGCTGGCTACACGGCGTGCTGAAGTGCAACTTAATTTTTTTGAAGTCACTATTTTGAAGTGTATAGTCTGGCAATTTCACACTGTTCTCCCTTTCAGGGGAGCTTTGATTAAAAGTAGCACTTTTCAGGTCAAAATATAACTATCTATCAAGAAGCGATTGTTATCATTACATTCCACTCCCCCTCAAGGGCATCTGTGAGACTCGCTATCTTTCCATCTGAATGTGTTTTGAGATTGATAGCTGAAAGAGGTGGCAGAATATGCAACTACTATTGGAGTCAGTAAATCTACATTGCAACAGCAATTTCATTTTAGGCACAAATATTCCTGTTGTCAAATCAATACTTGGAGTTATAAGTCACTTTCCAACTGTATAGAGCTTTCTGAGTTTTCTCTCATAGTCACTGATCTTCACAGTGCCCCTGCCAGTATAAAATATATAGAAGAGGAAATGGGGAGAGAGGGCAGGGAAAATTGGAGGTCAACAAGCTATGGCTCTCTCCACTTTGCACAGCCCTTAGTCTGCTGTGCACAGGCATTTACACAAGTATCATCCCCACTCCAGCACTGCTTCTTCCAGGTTTTGCTCTGAAGAGTAAGGCTAGCATTTGGAACAAACTCAGATTCTCTCTCTTTCTTCAGTCACTCTGTGAAGTAGATGATTCATTGTACCCATTAGTGTTTTGCTGGAGCTTGCATGTTTTCTCGAGGTCTCTTTTGTGCACTCCACTACAAAATGCTTAAAGATCACTTCTGCCCCCAAAGAAATCACAAATTAAAATTACATGGAGATTCAACAGGTAAAGTCAATGGATCAGGGGCAGACAGATGAACTAAGAGACTAGAAAACACTCACTGAGTACTACTTAGATACTCAAGAAAGTAGGGACCCAGACTTTACTTGGGGCTCCTCACTCACATTAGCATTAGGGTTGTTCTCAATGAATCAGGGTCAGTCAGGCTCCAAAGACCTTAGTACTTAAACACTATGAAGGACCTGGGCTTTGGCATAGAGATCTTCAAAACAGCCCCATCACTATCAAGGACAACACTTTCCTCATCGTTTTCCTGGTTCTAGTATTTCAGTACCATCTGCCTTGTACTCTGCTGCCAAAATTGGAAGAGGACCTACTCTCTGCAGTGTCTTTTATTTTTGTTTTGCCACGTTACCCTTTTCTCCTTTTTTCTTCCTGGTCCTGTCCAGGTGGTCTTTCAGCATGATGCGTACTTGCCGTTCATTCTGCATGTCTCGGATGAAAGAATGCTTAAGCAAGGTTTCAGTGGATGGACGATGCAAATAATTTTTTACAAGGCAGCTTTCAACAAAGTTTAGGAATTTCTTTGACCTGAAAAAGACAGAAAAGTGGAAGAAAACAATATCCTTTTCAACTTGTGCGCCAAGCACTACCCCTAAGTGATGGAAAGTGCTAACTTTGAAAGGTTTCCTTTTGCACTGGAACTGTGTGAGACTTCCAGTGAGACAGCCACAAAAATGATGAGAGGGATGCAACACCTCCTCTGTGAGGAAAGGCTGAGAGTTGTTCAGCCCAGAGAAGAGAAGGATCCGGGGAGAACTTCTAGGGGCCTTTCAGTACTTGGAAGGGGGCCTGTAAGAAAATTTGGGACAGACTTTTTAGCAGGGCCTGTAGTGATAGGACAAGGGGTGATGGATTTAAACTAAAAGAAAGTAGATTTACACTAGATAAAAGGAAGACATTTTTTAAAATGAGGGTGATGAAACACTGGAACAGGTTGCCCAGAGAGGTGGTAGATACCCCATCCCTGGAAACATTCAAGGTCAGGTTGGACGGGGCTCTGAGCAACCTGATCTAGTAGAAGATGTCCCTGCTTACTGCAGGGGGGGTGGGCTAGATGGGCTTTTAAGGTCCCTTCCAACTAAAACCATTCTATGATTCTGTGATTCTCTGAATTTGAGTCCTGAGCCCAGCACAGTGCTGAGGGCAAATGATGGGGAACTCCACCCCAAACGCCCTCTCAGTGGAATTACCTGAAATTTACATCTGGATCAACAAAAATACAACCTGGCCAAGGCAACTCTCTCAAAAATGCCTTTTGATATGGTGAAGATTTTCTTTATACACTTCATTTAAAAGGCAAACTAATTCTCTGTAGGCCACAGTGACTGCTATTAGTCCTACAATGTCCATGCAGTCTTCTGACAAAGCACTGACCCCAAGCAGCCCATCTAAGCCTTGCCTACACTGCAATTTCAGCCACCCATGCCAGACTTTAGCAACTGCAATGATTGCTGCAGTTTATGCAGAGTTTGAAAGAAAAGTATTGCTTCCCAAAGGTAACTACATTTGCTCCTGTGGCTTACTCCAGCACTAGAAATAGACTAGGAAAGACCTCACAGATCACTGTAGGATTTAACAAAATCATTGTCTCTGGATAAGAGATCTCAAAATCCTCCTAAGCCCAAGACAGCAGAAATACAGTTTTTCACATCTCTTTACCATTTTCTGGATTTCAGCTTTGGGGGTGGGTTCCGTGGGATGAGGAAGAGTGCTCTCATGGGGTGCATGTCACACAGGGCTGCAAAGGAAACCACAAGCTATTGAGGGGTGTATGTCCCCACCGTGTCCCTCCCACAGCCTGACCACACTGACCCGGCCACGCCATGAGCCTGGGTCAGAGAGGAGCAGTCCTCCACAAACACTCCCACGCCAACAGCACAGCATCCGCTGCAGAACCACACCATTAGACAATGAAATTCACACTACAGCCAAGAAATAAAGTCTCTGAGCACACAGAAATCTTTCACAACACTATGCTGTTATTGCCAGTTAAAAGAAGTTTGAAAGAAAGGCTGAACAGCAGGAACAAGCACAACTTTCTTCATATTCTTTATATACAAGGCTTCAGAAGGACATTAAAAAAAGCTCACCTTTCTAACACATGTTTTTGCATAAATAGAAGTTTAAGTTGGGTTTGAAATAATTTATTATGTCTGGCTTATGGTTCAGATAAATGGTAAGCTAAATTTTAATTGAACTCTTAGCTACATCATTCATGGCATAAGAGAAAATGTAGGATGAAGAAAACCTGATGTGAAGCGGAGAGCTCATAAACTGCGTCACTGGCACAGAACGTAATGACTAAGCACACGATTCATTTATTCTGTGTTTCAGGAGTCTGAGCACCATTATTATACAATCTGCAACAGATTCTGCTCATGCATTCAGATGTTGTTTTCTCTCCAGCCCAATGTACTTCTCTTTAGCGTTGCTGTTGTGAAAAGCTGAAGCTACAAAGAATTCTGCAGAAAGTAAATACCATCACATCTCATCTATCCCAGACATTTTGTATGGAATTATGAATGTGCTCCACCTGTCACGGAGAAATATTGAGGATCAGAGGTCTTTCTTCACAAAATAGAGCTACTGAATGACAACTGACAGGAACTATATGGACGCTGATTTCTTACGATATACAGGTGTTCAGCAGTGATTCTCTTAACAGGAGGGGACTTAGAGCACTGCGGAACCAGTAAAAGCGGGAAGACTCTGGTCTAGTAAAGCTTTCACTGCCTTCTATTAATTTCTCTGCCTGCATCCACGTGCCATCATTTCTCAGATCTGGGTTCTGTTTTTGACATTTCCCTTTGTATTTTCAATAGCACATGATACAGTGGGGATGAGAGGCACAAGAAGTCTGGTTTCTAGCTATGGTCCCAGACACTGTTGTACTACAATAAACAAAACACAACAGAATGAAATCCATAGCATTTCCCTGGCAAAACTAGTGAAAATATCAAATACAAGTGGCACGAGGAGGCAGCATGCAAAGCTACAAAGTCTCTCTCAAAGAAAACCCCCCACGGACTCATGTCCCAGGACTAAGCTTCGGCTAGGCTGAAGCACAGCGTCTGAAAGTGCTCCTGAACTCCAGCTGCCTCCTGAGTGCTGCTAAAAACCAAGTCTAACAGAACAGCCAAGTGTGTTTTTTAAAAACACAGCCTACATGCTCTCAAGCTCAGGCCAGAGTATAATTTACTTAATCTCCTGTGCTCTCAGCAGTGAGCGGATACCCCATCACACCACATCTGCTTCACGGGCTCTGGGACAAAGCAACTGGCTGCGAGAGGCTCACTGGAGGAGCGAGGGGTCAGCTGGCAGGCGAGGGCAGGCTGTAAAACTATGGCCATCTGCTGTCAGGCTGAGAATGTGGTCATGGACCAAAGCCATTGCGTGAGCAAACAGAGCATTCATCTCAAAACCTGTGAGAATCAAGTCAGTCTCAGAGTAAAAATACAACCTTTAGGTTTAGCTTCTCCCACTGCCATTTTTTTTTTTTTTTAGTGACCTAAGCCCAAAGCCACTCTTGTCAATTTTTTCTGCTAATGTGTCAATCACTTCTCCTTAGCTGTACCCAACAGGCAGTGATCAACAAAGCGATGCTAACAAGAGCCCTAAGAAAAAATTTGTTTGTTTCCCTAGGAAATGAAGGCAAGGAATTGAAATACAGACTTAAAGGGTCTAAAAGGAAGAAAGCAAAAGAGCTCAGGTGAGGAAAAGTCATAGATTATTTTTAAAGATATAGCCAGAACCAGAATTTTGTACATCTGCACATTAGCCAAGCATGAGTTATTTTAACACAGAACATGTTAACAAAGCACAGACACCCACACCTTTATACCAAACCACTTACGAGGAGCTCCTTCGGCCATTTCAATAGCAGTGATTCCCAAAGACCATAGGTCACTCTGCAGGAAAAGAAACATGGCACATTGCAACTTGCAGCATTCAAGCTTTTTTTGGTTTATTTTCTTTTGGGTTTTTAATTTTGGGGGTTTTTTTTTGTTTGTTTTCTTTTTAGTTTCCCTAGATTTCTCCTGGATTGGGTTGACATACATTCTGCTCCCTCCCATTCCCTACTGAGCTTTTAGGAAATGTGCTAACAGCCAGAAGCTTCCCATGCAACTCTGAACAGCTGATTCATCGTTTAAGGAGCCAGCCCCAAAATGCAGACCTTCTGCATTCAAAGAACAAGAGCCAGAATATAGCAGGCACCATTTAAATACATCTTAAATCTTTTAAACTGTTTTCATGAGGCAGTGAGACACAGCAGTGCCTCACCCCCCCCCCTGCTTCTGGTCAAAAAATTCTTGGTCTTAATGCTTATTTCAGAGAAGTCATTGCTGAATTTCTGCACCGATGGAACAGAATTATAGTCAGGCCTTGGGGTCTGACTTTTTCTCCAGTCACATGTTTTTGGGTGCCTGAAAGGAGAGCACATCATGCAGTCACGTTTATGCTGCAAAATATGTTCAGCTCAGTTAACTTTGAGTGGAGTTTTCTTTATCAGCTTATCTGGATGCTAAGGGCCAGGTTTTGATCACGGAAGATACATCAGAAACACTACCAGTGACTGCAAAAACTTCACAGGTCTCCACTTGATTAATCATGTACATTATTTTACTATTTTTTGCGTCAAATGTAGCCAAATGAGAGGCACATGACCAAACCAACTTGCAGGGCTTCTCTAAAACTATCTTTTAAAAAGGGAATGACAGAAGACAAACCTTCAAAGATTAGAAGCAATATAACATTACATGAACAGCAGCTCATACCCCACGTGGCACTCTTAACTAAATTTGACCTTATCAACAGAGCCTTCTCAGTCCAGCTGCTCTGAACTGCTTTACGCAAGCTGAAAACCAGTTCACATCATAGTTTGTGGAGGGATTTGACAACAAAACTGTTGGGAAATTAACAGATTTCTAATCTGAAGATTAGAAAAGTCTTCTAGGGTAGTACTGCAGGTTTAGGGGACAATGGAGAAACAACCAGACTACAAGAAATTTTGGTTTGGAGTTTCAAAGCGCGAGAGGCAGACAGATGAAAGGGAGGATGACAGCAGTGTTTGTAAAGGTCAGTGTGTGTAGATACATATTTATGCACATATATTTTTATTCTTTTTTTTTTTTTTTTTTTCAGTCAGAGCTGGAACAGCAAGAAGTTACAGAGTGCTTTCTTGCTACTTTGTTCATTGCATCACCTATAAATCTCTGTAGAAAAGAACAGATCCATGCCACCTTCTGAGTCATAGCGCTGTCTGCATAAGAGCTTCCAAAACCCCTGCTGATCAGTTTTAAACTACCATCTGCAGAATCTATTCGGAAGCAGATATAAATGTATGCAGATGAACTGTGATTATTACTAAAGGCAAAGAAACCTCAAGAATTAGGGGTGCATGTTCCTAATGCTTTTATCTTCTGAAAAGGAAATTGACTGAACGAAGACAACAGATTAATTTCTTGAGGTTTCAATAGAAGAGTTACATGGTATGAAAAATAAAATAAAATCCAAGAACATTCTTTGGTGATGACCAACACTCACACAATGTGACCTCACTCTGCCAGTGCAGTACAGAAGGTCTCAACAATGAAGAATCACAGTCTCTGAATCACTAGAAAATGGAAGTGATAAAAGGTTCTTCTAATAAATATTTCTGAAGCCACAATTAGAATGAGAGGTGCACAGTGGCAACCAAGACAGAACCTGAACCACAAAAGTGATCAGAGGGTCACTCAGAAGATGGCTGCTCAGAAAGCCTTCCTGTAAAACATCCTGCGTGGTAAGTGTAGGCAGACAAATGACAACACTGCTGGAAACAGGCCAGAGGATAAAGAATAAGGTTTGTAAGTCCCTTTGGAACAGCATCAGCATATTATAAGAGTTAGGAGGAGAATCAGAAAAAGTGCTTGATAGCTGCTCTTGGGCTCCCCAGTCCAAGGAAACCCTGGATATACTGGAGTGGGTGCAGCAAAAGGCCGCAAAGATATTTAAGCAATTGGAACTGGGAGGCTCTGGGCTGAGCGAGATGGAACTTCTGAGTGGTGCCTACTGATAGGACAAGAGGCAATGGGCACAAACTGAAATACAAGACATTCTGTGCCTGCTCACCTCAGCCACCCTGCGAATGACCAGAAATCATTCTGGGATGAGAAACCTCTTGCAGCCATATGCTCATAAATGAATTAAGTGATACTAATTATGCCAGTTAACTCAGGATTCGCCGCTGAGTACAGAGTAAAACAGCTCTATTACGGAGGAGATCAGTAACTTGTCATATTAGTATTACACTACTTCAAGTATTCTTTCCAAATTTACCTCTTCTTTTCTTTTCCATCCTGACCTGCAACCTCCAAATACCATTTTTTGTGGGGTTTTTTTTGCACAGAAGTTCAAAGGGTATTTAATGTATTAACAATTCACAAAAAATATTCATAATGAAACTCCACTATTAAAAAGAGCCACCACCCACATATTACAAATACTTCTATTCGTACAATTATTATATCATTGTGGTTTAAAAGGAGGGAAGTTTGAACTTTTCAAATGCAGGATTCAGCAATGAACTTAAGCAGGATTTCAGCAATAACCTGCATGTTTTGCTACCTTATGCGGAGTTGTAACACTTACTCTGTAATCGTATGTAGAGTCTGGGTTCTCCTCGCAAGCAATGACCTCAGGCGCCATCCAATACGGTGTGCCAATAAATGTGTTTCTTCTCCCAATAGTCCTATCCAGTTGAGCACTTACACCAAAATCCACTGAAAAGCCAAGCAGAGGTAAAGAATTAATAAAGAGTTGTATCCACATGGTAGAGTGTTTGTTTGGCTATTTTCACACTGTTTAGAATACCAAATCTTTGGGCTACGATGCATATCAAATCTCAGTTCCTCCAGTACATCTTATCCAATAGTTGAAATTTAACTGCCTTTTTTTCTGCTTTTTGACAGAAGGATCAAATAAACAGCATGCTAAATCTGTCAGGCAGGTTAAAACACACAGGAATTGCTCTAGGAAGATATAACAGAATAATTTATGCTTAATCTAAATGCTACATTGATTAGGACTCGAGATCTTTAGTATCTGAAAGGAAAAATAGTATCTACAGACAAGGCAAATTTGGATGTGTAACATGGTCATTTGTGAAAGCTGGAAAGAACTATCATATCACTTCATTTTGAGGTGTTTGGAATAACTCCTTCCCTACATTCATATACTATCTTGGAACAAACTGGAGAGTATACTAGCTTATTCGATCTTAGACTCATCATAATGAGAGAACTGTGTGGTGCTTTTTGTGCTGAAAAGGGTGTTTCTTTCATGAGGACTGTCTAGCAAACCTCCAAGATACACTAATTGGATCCACTGGGTATAGCACTTGAGTGCTATTCACAGATAAGACAAAATAACAGGGAAAAGAAAGGACTGAAAGGAGATGGCCCCATGGTTACCACCAAGGATCAGATCTTCTCACTTACGTTATCTCATTGCAGATCATCTGCAAACCACAATCATTTGTACTACTATAATTTAACATGTCTTTCCAACAGTAAGTTGGACCTGGTCTTTGGGATCATCACACGCTCTGTGCTCTGATGGGAAGTGTGCACACTTACACTGAAGTGGAACAGAACTGTACTGAGGACGTCTTGCATTTCTAGCTTCTTTAAGACATGCGAGCCAAATCTCTCTGGAAACAACTGGGGTTTTTTTAATTGGTGTACTTAGTAATCAGAGTTAGAAAGGTTTAACTTGTCGACCATGTGAAGAACGGTGGGACTAGTAACTATACAAGACCATAAACACACAAACCCCCTGCATCTTGCCAGTTTTAAGAGGGAACAGTTGAAAACTAGTACATATCTTTTAGAGACTACAAGTAAAATCCTGCCTTCATATAATGCAACAGCAAAACTTCCTTTGACTCCAGTGAAGCCAGGATTTTGCCATAAAGGTAAACCATAATGAGATTTAAAATATTTATTTTCACTCGCTCCAGCCACACATCCTATCCCACATCCACAGGCCATGTTTATGACTTTTGTTCTCCAACTCTACAGTGAATCCTTTCAATTAAAGAGAGAGGGAGCGTGAGGATAATTCCAAATAACAGAAGTGCTCTCCCTTAGACTGCTCCTTCAAATCACTGCCATGCATTCTCTGTGATGTCCTCCTAAAACAGGAAAGACATCCACTCCTCAAGAGAGATATGTACTTGAGTTTAGTCTTAGGAAGTCATAAGTTGTCAACACTGACATGTCACAACTAGAAAAGGAAATAAGTAAAGTCTCCAACATTTCTGAAAGATGACTATTAGTAAGAGCTACTCTTCAGTGGTAGCCCTTACACATGAGTAATTTCACCTCTTGTCAGATTTGTGAAAATCTCTAAGACCCCTTCCCTTAGAGAAATGGCTTAGTGCAAATTATTCCACCAACTTTTTTTATTTTGGAAGTCTTTGCATGCTGGGATCTGCTGTGAAGGCCTGATGGTGCTGTGACTTACTAGACAGGTTGTGTGTTTGAGTGCCCAGAAGTAGCTGTATTCCCCACAGGCTGTGAGTGACATCCTTGCAGAACATCTCACATTTTCAGCTCTTTCTACATGAAAGACACCTTATAAACACAGGCATTAATGCTACTTGACATATTTGTTGCTCTTAGGTTACTGAAGGTTCTTTCCAAGACAAGATGGAAATCTTAAATTTTTACGAACAGGTTTCTAGCACACATTTAAAGAAACTTACCCAGTTTTACTTCTGCATTTTCTGTGAGAAGAACATTCTGTCCTTTAATATCTCGATGGATAACATGGTGAACATGAAGATGTGCCAAGCCCTAAAAGAAAACCAGACTTTCCTTACTCTTTCTTCCTATCATTATCATGAGTGTGGCATTGTAGCCTTTTTACACTTTTACCCTTCTCAGTTTATTCATAGGGAAAGCCCTTCAGATCTCAGTAGCAACATGAAGACCCCAGTTTTGGGGAAGAGAAAGGACAGCAACTGCAGGTTTGATTGTCTTCTTTACCCACAGGTCTGACAGTAATGAGTATCTCTGAAGTCAAGTGTGAAGAGAACAAGGTAGCAATAACTTAAACATCTGCCTCAGAATCAAAGGATGCCTGCTTATACTATGTGTTAAAAGCAAACAAAAGAGAGAATGAGCAACGCAGAATGCTCTGCACGAGGACCAGAGACAGCAGCTGGCTGGCCACAGTGGCTTAAATTCTGCATTCAGCAAAACCATGTTCAATGGTAAATGGACCACAGAAAGTTCAAAATACCATGTCAGACCTCTTTTTGAATGTGGCAAATATTGTTTTCATTCAGCTAAGATTTGCAATATTCTGCCTTCTCCTTCGTTCCAAAATTGTTTATGATTAAACCAGCAAAGATAGAAAGGAATACACTGAAATAATACATTATAGTAAGCCAGAGAATGCTTCATTCAATGCTTAGCCTCTGTAATATTAATGACTTCAAACAGAGCTTCCACTCAGCTGCTAAATTTTCCAGAAGGAAACATTGTCAATCCACATGCAACTGGGTCATTCTGTTTTGAAACAAGCATGATTAAATCCAGCCTCTTGTTTTACACCAGCTTTTTTTGTTTTAGTTTTATTTCTACACAACAGCATGCTGTTACGGTTTTCAGTTGCATAAGCGTAAACCAAATGTTTTAACATTAATTGCTTTAATAGAGATATTATAGCCACACAAAAGAACAACAACCTTTAGGTATTACAATCTGCAGTCTAATTTCAAATCCTTGTAAGATGGCCAATATTCTCTACTGAACACGCTTCTCAACTCCTCTGCTCCAGAAGCAAAGGTTTGTCCATATTGAAGCATTACTTTGGGATGCCATTTGAATTCCAGCTCCCAGAATACACATTTATCTTACCATTATTTAGAAAAGAAGTAAAATTCCATTACAAGGAAGATGGATCAGTAATTCTGTAACGGGTTTTGAATTTAGAATGACAGGTTCCAACATTTAGGTTTTTTTCCCCCCAGGCTAGTTCACTAGATTACACTTGGGAATTGTTTTATCCTCTGTACTTTCCAGAAACAAAAACCAAAAAAACCCCCAAAACAAACCAAAACAACAAGCAAACAAAAGCTCTAAGCCTGCAAAGAATGAAATATAGCCCCAAGAATTATCTTGGGCAATATTGCCCCAGCAGGGCCACCTTTAAGATTGTGAAATGCACTTTAGTCAACATTGCTTCTGATAGTGTGGAAAAAAGGCCCCTGAGTGTGTGCAGGTAAAGGAATTATGAACAGAAAGATCTTGCACAGCATCAACAGCTGAAGCAATGAGCTGCAAGATCTCCTCATGTGGAGGACAGACTTACTGAAAACAGAAAATGTATTTACTTTTCTAGATGCCCAGAATCTGGACTTTCAGAACATGGCTATTTGCCATAGGAAACAGGAATTTTCTGTTCCTGACACAGAAAATGGGATTAACTACATAATAATATGGGATGTCAATAGGCTGGATTTTTGGGCTCTTCTGAACTCAAGGACCACAGCCCATGAGCCACATGGATCAAAACTGTTAAACAATCATGCTCATTAGTGATCTATGTTAGTGACCAAAGGCTTGGAAAGGCCTTTTTCTTGCACATGAGCAACAAAGCTCTGTTGGCAGAACCAGGACTCACCCTGAGAACCTCTCTGCAGATGTATGCAATCCAATCTTCCTTGAAACAGTTCCCTTTTGTCTTCTTTACCAGGTCAGTGACAGAGCCCGCACCACAGTACTCCATCACCAACTGCAGGAAGACAAATGCAATACACCTTTACCACAGCACGGACAGGGTGCCAGCAGAGATACCATGAGCAAACACCTACTCCACCACAATCAAGGTGTGGCAAACTACATGAAACTTTCCCAGATGCCAGGCAACATAAAATCTCATTTCCTGAATCATACACATTGCTGAATAAATAAAAAAAACCTCATTAATGCTCCCCTCCAATTACAGAGTATGGGTACTTTTTTCTTTTTTTTTTTCTTTTATTCTTTTTTTTTTTTTAAGAAACCACAAAATCAGAAAAGCAATAGCTAATAGAACTGGAAAATATGGGAATATTTTCGGAATTTGAAATTTCTCATTTTGCTGTAGAGCTTGAAAAGTCTTGCAGCCAAAAAAAAAAAAAAAAGGAGAATTCATTTTTGTTCTTTGATTTATTGCCAATTAGTCTGTTCCCTTTTTTATTTTCCAATTGAAAAAAAGGAGAGGAAAGCAACAAGAAAAAAGGAGAGAAGGGGAAGAGGAAAGCTCTCTTTCAATTTTGTTAAAAGAAAATAAAAATTACAGAAACGTTTAATTTGGAAAAGAAAAGTTTGACCAACAAATCAGAATGACAGCACAAGTATCACAACATACTTTATGCCCATCCTCAAAGGAAATCGTATGTGTAGGGAGGAACAATTTTTCTCTTTTATATGTTATTCTTCAGAACACTGACTTCAGAGCTTCACTGAGACAGAGTTCAAGCCAAACATACTGGAGCCCTAAATCTAACGAACAGAAATGACACTAAACACTTACCCAGAGCTGATCATCTTGGCCTGGAGGACTTTTCTTTACAAATGCACCATAATATGTAGCAATATTCCGGTGATGGGAGTACTTTTTAAGCATATTTATCTCCAGCTTGATTTCCTCCTCTTCATTCTGTAGCAAAAGAGAGCAGAAGGCTCCTTAGGTGATTGCTGAGCTTCAGGGCTGACCAGAGCTGCAGGGCAACCGCTGTCTTTGGAGGCTTTCAACACCCATCTGGAACCAGCTCTGAGCAACCTGGTCTGATCCCACAGCTGACCCTGCTCTGAGCAGGAGGTTGGACCAGAGACCTCCTGAGGCTCCCTCCAACCTGAGTTATCCTGTGATTATGAGGCTGCAACTGAAGGACAGGCTCTTAAATCAATGACTGAATCACCCTGATCCATCAGCCTAAAACAATGAATTGCTCGGGTTTGTCCTAAAGAATAAAAAATGTCCCGATTTGGGTATAACAATCTCATATTGTCTCCTCAGGGGGCTTAGACAGGACCTATCACTCTCCCATTTGCAGTTCCTGTATGGAGCAATTTAGTCTTGGAGAAATTAACCAGATTCAAACCAAAATAAAAATATTCCTAACACTCCATTATTTAAATACTTGGAAAAGCACTTAGTGCACACATTGGCCAATTTGTCTTCCCAGTCCTGTGAAGGGTCTTGCTAGGAGGAAATTAAAGCCAAGAAGGAGGCAACTTGCCACAAATCAAATTCCAGAGCCAGCACAAGGTTAGGATCTGCTCCTTCCTTCCAGTTGTGAGGCTACCCCATCTGGACCATGGAGCTTTTCCCCCCTCCTAACATCATGCCATCAGTTAAGTCCCCAGCATGCTGGGGGCTAGGACACCCCTAGACATCTCCTTCCAGACACTAGCTAGCTCTGTTTCCCACTGTCTTTGTTTCAGTCTCTTGAGGACAGACATTCTCTTCTGCCCAGTACAACACTGTGCACAATAAGACAACTAATGGAAACACAAGTTTTAATAATTACATTAGAAGGAAGTGCCCTTTTTCGGAGAGAACTACCTGATCTGAAGAGGTCCTCTCAGAGCTAGCCTCTTTCCTGTGTTGCCACCAAGAGAAACAGTGCACAACACTCAGTGAAACGCATGTAGATTTTGCCGTCTCATTTGCTTTAATAGGAAATGAGTGGTGCTGCAAGGTATCCTTGTATCCATTACAAGCAAGGTGACAAAGCTGAAAACTAATTTACCTTGTGGCAAAACATCCCAGTCAGCACTTACTAGCTGAAGAGAAAAAAAAAAAGAGGCAGCAAGAACAGCTCAGTCTCCCAGGACATTTTTCTGCACTTTTCCACTATTTTCCAGTAGTTTTGTCATCAAAGAATTCCTTTAACCATCACAACAGACTGCTTAAAAACCAGCTCATTGTCCTTTCTACCTGTAGCACAACATTAAAGCCTGACAGGCTGAAGCCAAATTCCCTCAAGCATATGCATATGATGCATCTTATTAAACCTGACCACACAAAAATAATTCCCAACAGAACAGGTAAGTTTTCCCCAGTAACATCAATCCACAGGAGACACGTTACCAGACCAAAACCTAATTATCTTAAGCTTTAGGAAATGAGAAATGTAAAACAACTCCACTTGAAGCAAAATGAGCCATGTCAGGTTTCAGAACAGCCCCTTTGTTGAACACAGGCTCTCAAACTGCACGCTTTACACTAGATATTTCATTTATCTTTTGTTTGCAATTAAGGTGAAAAAAGGAATCTTAATCCTCAGCTTGATACAGCCCTGGATGTTGTATGACTTAATTAGCAAAAGTAAGTACGGTGCAGCATCTGGAGTCTCCAAGAGAAGTCAGAGCTGGCTTCCAGGCAGCATGTGGGAAATCCTCCAGGAGCAAGGTCCTGTTTCTCTTTGCATGCGGCCAGGGCACAATCAAAGGGAGCAGAGAGCTTGTGCCTTCTGGGAGGGGAAACAAGGCTCTGCTCACTTTGGGACTCCAGCCAGTGCATGTGAAAAGGTGGAAACAGGCAGATGAGGAGAAAGGGGCAGAGAATGAGATGGGAACAGCCAACCTGGACCTGACCACAAGGGTCTTGTCACTGATATGAGTTTCTGGTAACAGATCTTTAGGGAAGAAGGGCAGAAAGCAGAACAAACAAGAAGGACTCTTCCCCACCCCTCCTGTCCCTCTGGCATCCTGCCCACTCCTTCTGATAGGGCAGCCAAACGTGGAGGGGCAACATTATTCTTTGATAAAGACCTTCCCCAAATTACTTAAGATCTCCTCAGACCTTAATAGTTTGGGGTTTTTCAACTCTGCCCATCTGGATGAACTTTGCACCGGTGGAGCCCAACTGAGCCCTCAGCACCCGCCTGCAGCTTTCACAGAGCTCCCCTCGGGGAGCTGGCAGATCTCAACCACTTCCTCCTTTTCAGCTCTTCTTCCTTAGGACAAGCCCAATTAACTTGCTGGATGTTGGAACGGTGCTGGCGCAGCTCTTATCCAAATACTATCTATTCCTCTGCAATCTTGCTTCCATGTTTTTAAAACAGAGATAAGCCTGTGCCTGTTTGTGAATACAGCTGGAACATCAGGTAGGTTCTTCCATACTCACCAGCAAGAGGAAAGAGCAGCTGCACGGGTGTAATG